AAAATAATTATTTTATTTCTGTTAAACTCTAGAAGAGCAATATTATATGCATTGCACCTATCACTCCACTTGATTGTTTTGCTGTATATTAAGTAACTGCTCAGAAAAATCCCATCTAAATTCTGTATTGCCTGCCTCTTCACTCGTATTAAGTTGTGATCCCCCCCCTTTTTTTTTAAATAGTAAAATGGCCAGAATATTGCATAGTATTCCAAAGGTAGCCTCAACAGTATCTTCAATAAAAACCAAGCCATTTCCTCTGATTTATATAGTGTTTGATCCCTCTGTTTTGTATTTTGTAAAGCCATATGCAACAGGATCTACAGTGTTATTGTCTACTACCCCACATCCTCAGTGATCATTGAGGTTGTAATCTTTTTTGGTTTTCTCCTGAGTTTCATATCTTAAATTTCTCTGCATTTACTGAAATGCAATGAATTGTCTAAGTCACAGATAGTGTGCAAAATTATTCCTCTAACCCAGTAGCCTCCTCTATCTACCTTGCACTGTCTCCATTTGGATATACCTTAATTGTTGGCACTTAATGTTAATTTACACTACAGCTCTATTACACTGCTCTGACAGTGTAAAGTGGCCCTAAAGTGGGAGTAAATTATATTTAAGACCAAGTTTAAGACCATTTACATCCATTTTATGGCCACTTTATGCTTCCAGACCAGTGTAAATGAGAATCAGGTCCTTTTTCTTTTATTTTAACCTCTTAGTTCATAAAAGCCACTAGTGTCCTGTGTTTTACATATTGTTACAAATCAGGAAAGAAAATGTTAAGCACTCACATTCTGAACTTTTCTTCCTAAACTGGCTCTTTCATGTTGCACCGCATCAGAAACTTTTCTTCAAGACTAAAACCATTATTATCACTGCTTGCCTTTCCCCCCATCAGCTATTTCGTTTCTTCAAAACAATATAGTATTTGTTTGACATGATCTTCTTTCTGTGAATGCATGCACACTTCATTAATTCACACCTTTCCAGGTGTTCTCATATTCTGTTTCTGATTCACATTTCCACTATTCTTCCCCACTGTGAAGATTAATATTGCAAATCTATAGTTCCTAGATTTTCCTAGATTGTTAGTAGGGCTGGTTTAAGGTTTTCAACAGCATGTTGCTGCACATGAGACCGTCAGAACTGGCAGTCATACTCCGTGTTACTGGAAAACATGTACAAATGGCAAAA